TTGGCTCAAGGGAGTTTTGTTATCGCACACCAGTGTTCATGTTCGCTTGGCCTACAACCCACACACTTATCAGAGTGGCTGCTCAGAAAAGCCTAATGTCTGTATTTTGGGCCATGTGATGGCAGTAAAGCATCCAGATCTACTAAATAAATAATTGGTTGATAATAATGCCATGATGTAGATGTGACTTATGTGTGACAGGGCTGAGAATTGTTTCCCAAGTGGCTAATAGGGTCCTTTACTTTTCCAGGGAGCATAGCAGCAGTGAGAGCAGTACAGAGAGTGAGGCGGGCATCTACACTTGTGATGAAGGACGTGAGGCTGATGATGAGCAGAGTGACTGGTTTGCTGAGCCTGATCCAGTCTATGGGGTCCCTGGCTCAGCTAACCCTACCAGGCAGAGGGCTGCGTCTAACCGCCTTTCGTGGTGGAATGAGAATGAGTTCAGTCTTTCGTCTTCAGCCAAGGTACTGTGGAAGGGTTAGAGGCCGGGTAGGGGTGGTGTGTGTGCGCACCTTCGAGCTGGAGCCTCAGCTCCTCTTTACACCTCGTACTGTGCAACAGAACCTCCAGTGCAAGATTTTTTGCTGATTTGTGTTCTTTTTTTTCTTTTGTGTGTCACTCTATTAAGTCTTACTAGTTCCCTTGCCTTTTTCTTTCATTCTTTATTATATTTCTTTCTGGTATTTTTTTTTTCTCTTTCTGTTTCATTTTCATTTTTTTCTCCCCTGGGCAATAGAGTAAAGCTTACGATAAAACCCATTTTGCATTCTGTTTGTGTATTTTCTGTTTTTTACTTGTGTGATAATTTCACTGAAATTTTCATTGACCAAAATAATATCATGATAATTTTCCAAGAGCATTTTGGTTACTAATTCTAATACATAAACTGAAGAAAACAGTTTTTATGTTGATATTACATTCATTTGTAGGTATTGGAAGTTAAAAAGTAATTTTCTTTTGCTAAAAATATGCATGATGGCATTTTCCTTGCTGCTCTGTGATAATATTTATTGGAACGAATGTGTTCTTCCTTTTGGGGTGTTGGTGTACAGAGTGGCAGCACTGAACAGCAACTGACAAGATTATTGTTTTTCTCACAGACAGTTCCGAGAAAAAGAAAACCTCCAATCTGTCAATGGTTTTGATCTGGTTTCCCCAACTATCTTTTAATGTTCCTATTTTAATATTAATATTTTAGCACCTACTTTATATACATTTAACATTAACATTTATTTACTGGTTCTTGTGATAATGTAAGGTTTTTTCTTTCTGATTTCCCCCTATTCTTTTGGGTTCTGTGACACTGATAAGGTGGAGTTTGTGATCACTGTTTCTCCCTATGGCCCTCTTGATAAGGGAGTTTGTGCAGTAATGGTAGGTTTTGCACCCCTATTCTCTAATGTGCACTTTACTAATTAGATGGCTGGTATATAGCAACTCTGTACACCACTATCCTAGAAAGGGAAATGATAGTTTAATCTTAACTTGTTTGAATGAAGGATTTCAGGAGGAGTTGGTACGTGGGTAAAATATGTCCCCTTTACATCTCATGTTGTAGCCTACGTCAAATACCTTCATTGTGCGTGGAAGTAGGCAGGTGGACCTTGCAAGGCCATTGTTGCTCATAGTCAGTCATTTTCTCTTGGCATTCATCATGATCTACCAGTTCAAGTTGTGCACTTTTAGTTGAATTTATGCAGCTACAGATTAATCATGTTCTGAGGAAGAATGTGATGGCGCAAGTGCTTAAAAAACAGCAACAAAAAACTAGTATGTCAATATATCACGAGACAGTGCAAGTTCCAGGTGGTCAGAGTAAACTTGTTTTAAAATCATTTTTTCACATGCATATATTGCATGAAACCTGTAAGGCTTAAACAAGATTAGAAATGTGAGGTTAGCCAAGATGATAATGGATAACTATGAGGAAGAAATGCGGACATTTTGAGCTTTAGATGAAAGTCATTATTTATGTTAGTGAATTGATGTGCTTTTACTGTGAGGCTTCTGTGTACAAGTTAGTTCGTATTACTACTTTTGGGTTCATCTATATTGTCTCTTTAAGAGCATATGGCGAGAAAAATTTTTCTTGGGAGGTATATAAGCGCCATTTGTGTTGCGAGCCAATTATAGCATATTCCTATTCTATGCTCCTTACAGTGTGGTAGCTTACATCTTCTTACAACTAGCATGTCTTAATTCTAGTGATTTTGGGGCATCCTAACTTTCTTTTAGTGAGCAGTGCTGGGATCTTGAGGGATCAGGCCATTAGATGTTCATCTGGCAAAATCGTAAGCTATTTTCATCCACAAGCAACCCGTGGTCTTATCACACTATTCCCACCGCGAATCATCACAGATAACAGCGCTATCTCTTTACTGAACGCCGACGCACTTGACATCCTATGGACCATGTCTGCAGATAAGTGTAAGAAATAGAATTTCAAAAAATCCAAAGTGTACGATTCACCTGGAGCCAACTACGATTCCCATTTTGCCACTCTTAGGAAACCAGAGAGCTTGTACAACTTTTTCCATTATAAGCAGCCATGCCTTTAGAGAATACTCAGGTGTAAATCTCCTACCCACTGGATTAGAGAGATTAAATAACGAGTGTTGCGTGTTCCTCTACTTTAAAACTGCAAAGTGTCTACCGTTTTCCTACTTTATGATTTCTACTTCTACCAACCAATCTTCTTTCTCCTCCTTATGGCCTTAGTGGGTGGTTAGCTGTGGTGTGATAATTCTTCTACGTATGGTGGTAGTTGTGGTGATTGTCTTCTTCAGTATAGTTAGCATGTAGATTGTTAGAATAGGAATTCCACATGTTGTACAGTTGGTGTGTCGTTTAATAAGAGGTAGTCTGTGACATGAGGGCTCTTGTGCTTCGTTAGAGGCAAAGTAGGACATGCATTTTCTCAGTCTTTACGTGCCTTGTTCCAGGAAGCTGTACATCATACTGCCCATCTCCATGGTGACCTCCTCCTCTACCAGACACCTCGTAAGACAATTGTGAGCATAGAAACTGCAAATACCGACAGCTACACGGCGTAGATCACCCGGATAATTCCTCGCGTGGGCCATAAGTGCATGGAGCGTCTTGTGACCTCGCTATTTTAAGTATGATGCTATCCTTTTGATCCTGAGATTATATAAGAACCTCCAAACATAAATTCTGTATTACCATTGCGCTAATACATCTGTCGCAGGTTCTACCTACGCTGTTCCGGTGTCCAAAAAGGGCTGTCAAGTCTTTTTGGCTGCTGGATACCCATGTGGCTCTAGGTTGAGTTAGCTAAACCAGAGCCTCTAAAGACAAGTTTCTCAAATGTTGCTGTTGGAGGGGAACCGTAACCTTAACCTTTTGCGGACATAAGAAATAATTCGGCTAGGTGTACAGCACCCAGTTTCTTCCGCGGTGACATTTAGGCAGTATGATAATGTTCTTGCTTTAGAAAGGAAGTCAAAAGGATTGTGTGCTGTCTTTCTTAACAGTTTGATAACATAAACGCGTATATATTGAAAGATTGAGAATGACTGATTAGTTTAAAAATTTATCCTGGCAATTAAGGCGGAGGCCTTAGGTTGTATGCGTGTAAATAAATGAGGCGACATCCATTGGACTTCTCGTATTATGTCTTCAGTGTTATTACTCTCCAGTTTATCAATATACCCATCTGGTAATACCAGTATTTGATGTTATGGTATTTCCCTATATATGACCATTTATTTTACTGCTACCACTTTTTTGTGTTCCTGCAACACAGTTAACCCTTTTTTGTAGTGAGAGTAATGTGTCATTTCGCGATTTTTTCACTTTTTTGCTTTTCTTTTTCCCTTTTTATCTTTGCTCTTCATTCTCTCCTTTTAATTTTTTTCCTTTTCCTCTGTCTTTAGGCCGGTACCTCCTTCCTTGGTTCTCTTCTTTTTTGTGCTTCTATTTTGCAATTCCTCTCTCCCTATCCCGTCCTCTCTTTTCCTTCATCCTTTGTTTTGCTTTTCTCTTCCTCCCTCCTCTGTGTGCATTCCTTCCTTTTCTCTTCTCCTTTTTATTCCCCTCCCCTCCCTCCCTCCCTCCCTCCCTCCCTCCCTTCCCTCTTCCTTTTTTTCTTTCTCCTCCTTGCCTCTCTCCCTCCTCTCCCTCACTCCCTCAGCTCCCCTCCTCCCTTCCTCCTTGCCTCTCCCCTCCCTCCCTCCCTCATCCCTTCCCTCCCTCCCTCTCCTCCTCCTCCCCTCCCGTCCCCTTCTTCCCTCCTCCTCCCTTCCCTCCCTCCCTCCCTTATCTCCTCCCGTCCCTCCCTCCTCCCTCCCTCCCTCCCTCCCTCCCTCCCTCCCTTCCTTCCTTCCTTCCTTCCTTCCTTCCTTCCTTCCTTTCCTTCCTTCCTTCCTTCCTTCCTTCCTTCCTTCCTTTTCTTCCTTCTTTCCTTGCTATTGATTATCTGTGCATCTTTCTCTGTCTCTCTCTCTTACTGATTTCTCTTTTCATACCCGTTGAAGTAAAGTGTGTATTGCATCCTTTTAACCCCTATGACTTGGATGATATGACCATCTTGTTATGAAAAAAATTGACTGGAAGGGAGGGTGATGTGAGAATGCTATCATGGAGGAATTTGGCAGTGGGCTAAGTTGGTAGGAACTTGCTATCATGAGATATGCGGCTGAAGGCAGAAATGATGGAAATTACTTGCCACGAGTGCACAAAGCTCTATGAGAGATATTAAACTCAGTAGTTATTAAGAAATAGGATCTTGCAATGTTGCTGTCAGTTAAAGTGTGTGGAAAGTATCATCTGTGAGCCATGACTAGAAGAGCGCTGACTCCAGGAAGGACACTATTTACATGATCAGAATCCTATTCCTGTCCACCATGATCAACAGCAGCAGATTGAATATTATGAAAAGATTAAAAAGGACATAATAACATTGTTGTTCTTATTATTGCACCGATTTATGGATTACCTAGGGAAATGATATGGAGTTTATGTAAAGAAAATAGTCT